CAGTAGGTGGTGACAGAAGCATTGCAGTGTCTCAGGAAGCTTCAGAACAGAAACTGGACCCTGCCGAAAATGTAACTGGAAGCAAGAGGCAGACGAGAACACCCAAGAAAAAGCTCCGTTCCCTCGAAGACCTGGTTGGCTTCAAAGAGCTCTTCCAAACGCCACATTATGCCAAGGAACCAATGACTGATGACAGAAGCACCCAAATATCCTGCAAATCTCCACAAGCAGAACCAGTCAACACACCAACAAGTAGAAAGAGAGGGCTCAAGACACCTCTGCAGAAAATAGATGTAGAGGATGAGCTCTCAGCAATTAAGAAGCCCACACAAACACCAGAAGAAACCACACTCTCACACAAAGAACTGGTAGGTGGTGACAGAAACATTGCAGTGTCTCAGGAAGGTCCAGAACAGACACTTGACCCTGCAGACAATGTAGCTGGAAGCAAGAGGCGGACGAGAACACCCAAGAAAAAGATCCATTCCCTTGAAGACCTGGTTGGCTTCAAAGAGCTCTTCCATACACCAGATCATGCCAAGGAACCAATGACTGATGACAAAACCACCCAAATATCCTGCAGATCTCCACAAGCAGAGCCAGTCAACACACAAGCAAGTAGATGGAGATGGCTCAAGAGACCTCCCCAGAAAGTAGACATAGAGGATGAGCTCTCAGCACGCAGGAAGCCCACACAAACACCAAATGAAACTGTGCACACACAGAGAGAACCAGTGGATGGTGATAAAGACATCAAATTGTTTAAGGAGACTTCAGAGCAGAAACTAGACTCAAAAGAAAACGTAACCGGAAGCAAGAGGCAACCAAGAAGACCTAAGGAAAAGGCCCAACCCCTAGAAGACCTGGATGGCCTCAAAATGCTCTTCCAAACACCAGATCGCATCAAAGAACCGATGACTGATGACAAAACCACCAAAATTTCCTGCAAATCTCCACAAGCAGAACCAGCCAACACACCAACAAGTAGCAAGAGACTGCTTAGGGCACCTCCCTGGAAGGTGGAGGAGCGGGAACGTCTATCAGCAGGCAAGAAGCCCACGCAAACCCTGGGGGAAATGGCGTGTTCACACGGAGAACCAGTAGACAGTGACAAAGACATCAAAGCGTTTAAGCACACTGCAAGGCAGGAACTGGATCCTGCAGAAAATGTAACTGGAAATAAGAGGCAGCTAAGAATCCTGAAGGAAAAGTCCCAGCCCCTTGAAGACGTGGTTGGCTTCAAAGAGCTCTTCCAATCACCAGTTCAGGCCAAGGAACCAACGGCTATTACCAAAACCACAAAAATGCCCTGCAAATCTCCACAACCAGAACCAGTTGTAACACCAACCAACATGAGACAGCTTAAGACATCTCTGGGGAAAGTAGGCGTAGAAGATGTGCTCTCAGCACGCAGGAAGCCCACACGAACGCTGGGCAAAGCTGTGCACGCACACAGAGAACCAGTGGATGATAAAGACATCAAACTATTTAAGGAAGCTCCCAAGCAGAAACTGGACTCAGAAGAAAATGTAACTGGAAGCAAGAGGCAGCCAAGAAGACTTAAGGAAAAGGCCCAACCCCTAGAAGACCTGGATGGCCTCAAAATGCTCTTCCGAACACCAGATCACAGTGAGGAACCAACGACTGATGAGAAAACCTCCAAAATACCCTGTAAAGCTCCACAAACGGAACCAGTCAAAACACCAGCAAATAGAAAGAGACTGCTTAGGGCACCTCCCCGGAAAGAGGAAGAGCAGGAAGACCTGTCAGCACACAGGAAGCCTACACGAACTCTGAGGGAAAGGATGCACTCACACAGAGAACCAGTCAGTGGTGATAAAGACATCACAGTGTTTAAGGGAACTGCAAGGCAGGCACCGGACCCTGCAGCAAATGTAACTGGAAACAAGAGGCAGCTAAGAACTAAGGAAAAGGCTCAGCTCCTTGAAGACCCGGCTGGCCTCAAAGAGCTCTTCCAAACACCAGCTCACACACACGAACTAATGACTGATGAGAAAACCACAAAAATGCCCTGCAAATCTTCCCAAGTGGAACCAGTCAACACGAACATGCCAACGGGTACAAAGAGACGGCTCAGGGTACCTCCCCGGAAAGTGGACATAGAAGATAAGCGCTCAGCGTGCAGGAAGCCCACAGAAACACCGGGGGAAACCACACACACACATGGAGAACCAATAGTGGATGATAAAAACATCAAGTTGTTTAAAGAAACTCCAAAGCAGGAACTGGACCCTGAAGAAAATGTAACTAGAAGCAAGAAGCAGCCAACAATCCGTAAGAAAAAGGCCCGACCTCTAGAAGACCTGGATGGCCTCAAAGAGCTCATCCAAACGCCAGATCACACGGACGATCCAGTGACTGATGAGAAAACCACTAAAATGCCCTGTGAATCTCCACGCGTGGAACCCGTCACCGAGCCACCAAGCAAGAAAAGACGGCTCAGGGCACCGCCCCGGAAGGTGGATGAGCAGGAAGATCTGTCAGCACCCAGGAAGCCCACACAAACCCTGGGGAAAACGATGCGCTCACGCAGAGAACCAGTCGGTGGTGATAAAGACATCACAGTGTTTAAGGAAACTGCAAAGGAGGAACTGGACCCTGCGGCAAATGTAACTGGAAACAGGAGGTGGCCAAGAAGAACTAAGGAAAAGGCCCAGCCCCTCGAAGACCTGACCAGGTATAAAGAGCCCCTCCAGACGCCAGCTCACGCCAAGGAACTAGGAAGTGAAGCTGAGAGCGTTAAGATGACTCCAACACAAACAGCAGACAAAAGAAAACCTGTGAAAATATCCAGAAGAGTCCTTAGGGCCCCTAAAATAGAACCCACGGATGACCTGGCGGGCACCAGGGACCCTGTGCAATCACAAGGGGAAAGCAGTGTTTCCCCGTCCCCCAAGAGGAAACGTGGAAAAGATGGACGCATCACGGGAACGAAGAGGCTGTGCTCTGTGACTCCTCCACCAGACACGGCGGAAGAGAAGCCGCTCCATAAGAAACAGAGGACGGCTCCCAGAGAGACATGCGAACCACCTGAACCCGCTGTGACAGAGAAGAAAAGTCGGAGAATGTTGGCAAAAAGGATCGAACCTGTGAAAGGGCTGCCCAGCAACAATGGGAAAACTGAAAAAAGGGGCCAAACAGTAGAAGATGCAGCTGCTTCAAATAAGGTGATGGTAGATGTTACATAATCGTTACTGTCATCTTGGATTGATGTGCTCCTTTTTTGGTATATGTGGTATAAATTGTGTGTAACCTGAATTTATATGTGGATTACATTTCCCAAAGGGGTCTGTATTCAACAGTGAATAACTGCAGACCATGGTAAAGAGTCCTTTTGGGATATATAGAGAATAGACTAATTTGGGAAGATGATTAGTCAAAATTATTACAGAGTTTGGCAAGAGCTTCTCAGGAACTGAATGAGTTAGGTTCGTCTTTGAAGGTGTGAAGCATCTTGTAGAGGTGGGCAGCTCAGCCCTGTGTTCCAGACACTACAGCCAGGAGTGCTGGGTAGAAGTTCTGTATGCGTCAGTATTTAAACAGAACAGTGTACGTGGGGAGGGTGTGTCCTGAGAACAACAGAACCGTCAGGTTGTTCTATAGAGAGGTTACTACTGCAGGGAGAGAAGTTTGTAAGATTCCATAAACCGAGATTTTCCTGTCTGCTTTAGCAATGATTGTTAAAGGATTAGGAATTCATTTCCTGCCTGAAAAAGGGGCATTTTTCTATAATGACTCTTTAATGTTGTTATGATCAGATTTGACATATATGACATTCAGACATTGTGATGGAAACTTACACTGAATTCCTTATTTATGGTTCATCAACAGAGATGATGACTTCTCCATAGGAACAAAATGACAAAACTTTACCTTGAATGGCTTAGATTACTAGCATTGTAGAAAATTAATCAATGTAAAATTTTCAGATGAGTCCCACTTTTTTTTTTTGAGTTCACTTTTGCTTGTTTTTCTCTGTGTTGAATTTTGAGATTTGTATGACTCATTATTGACATGACGTGGATGTCTTTTGAATTTTTTAGGGAATGTCCCTGCGTTCCAGACGCCCAAATAAAACCGATGTAGAGGAGCAAAAATCTGAATTTCCTCTATCGGCAGAAAAGATTAAAACAAAGAGGAATGAAAAGAAGCCCATGAATACCTCCCAAGAGATGAAGCTACAAAACCCGGAAGATGGAGCTGAGAATTCCACATCTGGGGGCCAAGTCCCTGGAAGTAGAACAGGTTTGAGATCTGGAAGACGGAATAAGATGCCCTTGCCTAATGTAGCAGAGGAGAAAGCAAGGAAGAAAAGTGTGGAAATCTCCGTGAAGAGTCAGAAGGAGAGCAAAGTAACAGAACATTCAGACTCCAAGAGTTTGAGATCAAGAAAGATTACAGTTCCTTCTAAAGGAAACACTTCAGAGGGTGAATCTGAGCAGAGAGTAACTCGGGGTGCCAAGAAGCGTGCTGAAACTACCACAAAGGCAGGTCATTTACTGTTTTTCTTTTTATCAGCATAGAATGTTTTGATATAATTTTTGCCCCATGTTGTAAAAGCAAACACAACATCATATATAATTCCACGCTGCCAGCTCCCAGTTATACTAACGTACGAAGCATGAACGTACATCAACTATTTTGTATTAGTAGCTATATTTAGTTATATCTGTCTTGAGAATCCCACTTCAAATAGTAAATTCACATTATGAAGCCATCATTCAGGAAGAACAAGGAATTTACCTAGTCAGTACTTTCTGACTGCTCATGATGTACCCTGTACTAAAATTATAGATAGATATCTTCTGGCTCTTGTTAGTTTGACAAAACTTACTAAAGCAGAAAGGTGGTCCCAGAGGAGTTCCTTTGGAGAGCTAGAATGAAGAAAAGTTGGGGGTGTCCATAAGGCAAATAGTGCTACAGTCCTGTGCTGCATGAGGACGTTTCAATGACAGACCGCATAGACGCCGGGGGTCCCATTGGATTGGTACCATGTAGCCTAGGTGTGTAGTGGGCCCTACCATCTAGGTTAGTGTACTCTGTGATGCTCACAACAATGAAATGGCCGTCGTTACCCAGGCACGGCTGTATTAAATGTTCCTATTCAGGAGGAGGTGCTCGTGTCCTAGCGCCCTTCCCAAAGCAAATAATGTCTAAGTTAAAGGACTGTCAGTGCTGCTAACGTCAGGTCAGATTCAGCAGCACGTGAGTTGTCTACCGTTTGAATAAATCCATGGTGCAGGACTGAATTCAGTCAGTGTTCTGGGGAATACTTGATTTTCCTAGTTTGAAAGAAAGAGTGGTTAACCAGCTCCCTTTTTGTGAGCGTATAAATTTGCTTCTTAGCGTGTCGTTCAAGACTGGATGCCAGTGCCGTGGGCCACTGCTCTAACACACACGTGTGAATTTACTGCTTGACAGATGGTTGTCTGATGTGGCGCCAGCTGCAAAGGCAGAAGAGATTTGTTTACTGCGTGGTAGAATGATGGTGGGGACACTGGCCTACATCCACATCCAGGCTCTCCCTGCATGTCCCCGCCACCCTTAGAGGGGTGAGGGAGCAGCTGCAGGGCAGGTGAAGTGCATCCTGCGGTCAGCAAAGACGAGATGTGTCCCACCCAGCCCTTCATTAGCTTGTGTATTTACCATTCTGTTGTCATCTGTAGTGTGGATCTCACACTCTGCTACCTTCTGATAGAGACCTACAGTTTCCGGTTTGACCTTTTCCTGATATCTCAGTCACTTGAAGGACATTTGCACTGCACGGTAACAAGGTGCTACCTTCAGTCCCTATTCAAGTATTTCAGGTCATTTACATTTAAACTCAGCCTTAGGTTTTTAATTCTTGTCTTCTGTTCTCCTGACTCTTCCTGCCACTCAGTGTTAAAGATCACTGGATAAGGTCATTGGTGGGAACTGCTTCTAAAGTATGCTCAGACAGACATCACAATTAGCTTTTCCCACGGGCTGTAGGGTTGGGGGACTGTGTGTAGTGGACACGGAGACACCTGTCTGCTCCCCTGTAAGTACAGCGCAGACACCCAAGTCTCTGGGGCACCCATTCTGAAGAGGCAGACCATATTCTGCTTCCTTTTAGATTTTATCTAAGTGACTGGATGGATGAACCTCCTCCTCCCGGCTCCTCTTGGAGCACATGCAGCAGGTGGTCCCGGGTCACACACAAAGACTGTTGAGGAATTGTCTGCTTCATACACGTAGATTGTTTGGAAGACCCCAAAGATTTTGCCCATTTGAATTCGCCTTTTCTGAGTGGTATTTTTTAATTAGTGAAAATGTGTGTAATCGTGTGGAAATTTTCTTTATTTTTTTTAATTATGTATTAACTTAAAAATAGGTGACAAATCTATCAAAAGACAAAATATATGTTTAAAAGACCAAATAGTAAAAACAGCTTAAAGAACAAAAGCAACTTTCCCAGGCTATGTCTTATTAAACTCATTTCCAACTTCAAGATGAATTTTCCAGAACTATGTTACACCTAGTAAGGATTTGGATCTTTGCAGAGTAGAGTTGGTTACAAAAATTGTTCTTTTAAATGACTTGAGTTATATCTTTGTTTCCAAACAGGTCAATGACAATGTGTGCATCAAGAAAATAAGGACCAGGAGTCATCGGGACAATGAAGATATTTAGCTAAAAAGTTTCAAAGGGAAAAAAAAGTAATACATGTAATTTAGTGATAAGTTCTAGTACAATATTTGCTGTAAATTTAAAAGTGAAGTCTGTAAATAATGCTATCTGGTTGTTTAAGGAAAGAAAGCTTAGAAATTTCTGGTTTTGAATTGTCTGTTCAAAAACTCCACATGGAGGTTATGAAGCAGACAGCTGGGTCTCATAAAATGGTAAAAATTTAAAAGTTGGGGGTGGCGGGTGGGGGTGGGGAGTGGGAGATGGGCCAAGGTATGCCCTCCAACTTTGCAACTGAAGCCCTGAAGTTTATCACCCCCACAGCTGGTCCCCATTAGCTGTGGGCTCTAGCACTTGCATTGTACATGCTTCTGTGTTTGTCTGTGTCCTCCACCAGAATGTGAAAGGCAGGGGCTTCTATCCTTGTATCCCCCTACACGGGGCAGGCACTCAGGAAACATTAGTGAATGGGTAGATGAGTAAATTAATGAAACTTACAAGATCTGTCTTTACAATGGGGGAGACATTTGGTTCATATGCTAGGGCTGTTGATCATCAACACAGGACAGTCCAATCTTTGGTGTTTTTATCCCTTAAGGGAATGACATTGTGGATTGGAGTATGGTTTGTGAGCCCATCTTCAGCGTAAAGCCGTTACTTTATCTAAGGAATGGCTGGTGGCTTGCCTTTTAGCCTTTAAGTATATTTGTCTAAGCCAGGACTGCTTTCCTCTGAGAAGCCGTCCACACACTAAATCTTAGGGCCGTCGGCCAGGGCACCCCTCGATTCCAAACTGTAACGCCCCTCTTCACTTCTGTGCTTTCGGGTCATTTACAGTTTCTGGGCTTTCTGCTGGATCTGCTCCCACCTGTGCCTTTTCTGACCACAACTGTTGGCCTGACTTAGTCACTCCCATGCCACCTTGTGCAGGAAACAACACAAACTCTCCCCTAAAAGAATAAACGTTTCTGACAGCAGCAGAGCACGAAGCTCCTTCACTCACAATTCCCGAATTGTTTATCTCTGAGCATGCTACATCTGATTTTTAAGCCCGGACTTCTTTCTTTGGTTTCAGACGCATACATTGAACTGCTGGGCATCTGCATTTTGATGTTCCACTTTATCCTCCTCTTCCTCTTTCTGTGTTCCCTAAATCGGAAAATAGCACACCTTCCCTCCAGTCACCTGTCTGGAGTCCTCCCCATTCACCTGCCTTGCCAGTTTGAGCTGAGGATGGAAGACAAGAGAGGGTAGCTGTCCCCTAGAGTGTGAACCGTAATGACCATACCCCGTCTGTCCACTCTGTTATCCCCTAAAGTCTGGTGTGGAGCCAGGTTTACATAAAAATAAATGTTTGCTGAATGAACGCATGAGTGTCTGCGTGGCTGTCTGAGTCAATGGTAGTTGCTTTTACTATTTCGGCTGCTGTAATGGAGTTCTGGACAGTGTTGTCTCAGATTGTGAGGAAGGGGGACGGGTTGAAGGAAGGTCGTAGGATGGAGGGGCTGCACAGGGCAGGTGACAGTTGAGCTGGGCCGCAAAGGAGAGTGAGGTGGTGGCAGAGAGCAGAAGAAATGAGAGGATTTTAGGAAGTGGGGCCCTCATTAGAAAAGGCACTTGATTTGAAGGTGTGAGTCATAAATGTGTCGTTTAGGTAGGCAAAATTCAAGAAAATGTAAAATAATAGCATTTTTCTATGATTAAGTTGTTCTGCCAACACTCCAGATTTAGTAGTAATTATGGAATATAGGAAAATTTCAATTAGCCATATGCCTGGGGAATGGAATATACTGATTAATTAAAATATCCTTTACGATTTAATTCTCAACAATCTCACTGAACTATATGAGCATATTTTCTCACCTTAGGAAGTACAGTATTTCAAGAGCACAAGGGGGGTTTTCATTTCCTAGGGCTGTGGGTGCTTGATTAAAAAAGCTCATTTAAACAAGTGTTTAGAAAAACACATGTCCGCAGGACATGTCTTTGATTTAGCATTTTTTGTGGAGGAGGGAAGCTTCAGGCAGAAATATCAACCATTCAATCAGGCTAATTGTGTATTTGAGAACAGTGTGCAAGAAATAAATACCTACTGGCTGTGTGGTTTGGTAACTTCTCTGAGCCTCAGATTCCAAGTGAGTAACATCCCTCTGATGGAACGTTCTCCATAAACGGAAGCTGTTTGTACTCTTTTGCCTCCAAGCTTCTGCGTGACCTGGCTGCCAGTCTCCGTGGCTTTCTTTGCTCTAATTCTGTACCAGCCAACTCTTGCCTTCCTTAGGCAAGACCGCCCTCCCACACATATGTGTAAACATATGTTCGTGCACACACACACTCATGCACCCTCACATACACACATACATACTCATACACACACACACACACACATGCACACATATACACACATACACACACATTCGTATACTCATACATACACTCATACACACATTCATATACTGTCTGGCTGCACGCCCAGTTGTGCAAGCAGCGTGGGATAGGTAGCGGATAGACCGAAGCAAAGACTCGGAGATGGCATACAAGATATATGGGTTCACTGGGTCTTATGTACAGGGAGTGTCCAGGGGCGGCTGGCTGGGCGGAGTTGTGCACTTGCTACCGTGGGCAGAGAGCGGGTTGCTTATGTAGGCGGGGGAACAAAGATGACCTGCTTGCCATGAGGGACTGTCCTTGGTATGACCAGTGTTCCCAGGAACAGTAGCTCACATGGAAGGGCCCTATGTTCCTTCAAGACTTGCTGTTCTTTGAGATAAGTTAAGATCCAGGTTGGCCAGGCGCTGGATCATTACAAATCCCAGGAAGTTGGTGTCCTGCCCAGATGGCGGCCCGAAGGACACATGGTTGTAATAGGGCATGCAGGCCAGTGCCAGGCAAGCATGACCCTACATACACACACTTACACATACACACCCACACATGCACCCTGCTCTTCTCTGCCTTGGACTTTCTGCACCTCCTGCTTCACAAGATGCTTCCCTCTAGGCCTGAGTTCAGCTCCAGTGAGGCTCCCTCAGGGAAGCCTGGTTCACCCTGTCCCCATTTCCTGGGCTGGGTTGGGTCCCCTGTTGCATGCTCTGGAGTCATCCTGTACTTCTTTGTGGAATGTACCACAGTGGAAACTAGACCACTAATTATGTGTCTGCCTCCTCTGCTAGGACCAAACTTTGTCCATCCATGCGGGCAGACCACGTATTCACCAGTCACCGTATTCCAATGACCAGGTACAAGAGGTACCCAACCAGGTGGCTGCGAGATGAAGTGATCTTAAAACCCATGGTATTTATTAAAAGGTGTAGCAGTAAAGAAAACAAACAAACCAAGAGGGAGGAGCGGCAGATGGACAGACTCAGAGGAGCTGGATCTTAAGCCTCTGTCTCCATTTTGACAACTGACATGGATGGACAGTTACTTTCTCTCCTGGCCAATAAGCCATTGTGACCGTGTTAGTCCTGCGGGAACGGCT